AGTTTGAATGAATGAATGAATGAATGAATGAATGAATGAATGAATGAATGAAATGAGAGAGAGAGAGACTTCAATACTAACGATGCAGTGAATGCTTTAGAGGGGTAGCCGAGTTAGTCTGTAACAGGAAAAACTTAAAAAACAACAAATAGTCTAGTAGCACCTTAAAAACTAACAAAACATGTAGATGGTATCATGAGCTTTTGTGGGCAAAACCCACTTCTTCAGGTGACCGGAGTAGGTTCACCAGCAGCCAGACTTCAAGGAGCAAGCAAGCGCTCCCTTGTCTTCTTTCGCCCACAGCTCTCTCCAGCAGGGCAGATCTGGGAAAGCTTGTAAATTCATAATCTGTTAAACCTGGATTGAGAAGCAAATTGGAGTCCAATATTTAGTCTAGTCTGAGGTGCTTGCTAGTGCTAATACAGTCAAGAGTTTGTGACTAATCCAGTACCCTATTTTCAATAGGTTATATAACACTGCTATAAAAATGTGCTTCAGCCAACTCTCAATATTAAAGCCCTCGGTTGACTAATAAAATAGCTTTTCCTTTCATGGAAGCAGTCATCTGTATTATTGGATATATTTAGAGCGTTGAAAGAGGATATGGGTCAAACCTAAGACCCAATAGTAAATCTAAGGAAAGTACCTTTCCTATCACTTTAGAAGTATTTTGACTCCAAATTTTTCTAGATGTGCATGTCTAAGTCTCTAGAAAAAAATGTCCATGCAAGTAGTAAACATGTTATCTATATAATAAATATGCAAGTATTCTGGAAAACAATGGGACAGTGTCCTTTTTGGTTCCTCCCAGGCTCACTCAGCAGTCTGTTACTATTGCGTCAATACAGGTACCATGTTATAGACTATTTCACTGCTTGCTACAAAGTTGGGATTGCATGATGTGACATAGGCCAAATATGAGTTCCTTTTATAAGTTAGCAGGGAAGGGTTTGATTGTAATAATAAACATCAGTAACAATCTGTTTTCCCTCCAAATAAACACCAGGAGTCCTGGGCCAGATTGTGCAATCACTCCAGCCAGAATTGGACTATGGGCCAGGAGTTTAAGACCCCTGCTTTAGATAGGAATCCCTTTACACTTGGAACTCATTTAGATCTGCATTCAAATGGCGTGGCTGAAAATTCCATCACGGTAGAGAAGGGACAAATCTCAGAGTTCTAATAAATATAAATAGGACATACGTTAATACTGAGGTAGCCAGATGCAGACAAATGCTATGGTTCTCACAGAGTCTCCAGCACATGCACTGACTCAACACAGTTGGGCTACATCAACACTGGCATGATTTTCCGCAAATGCTTTTAACGGAAAAACTTTTCCGTTAAAAGCATTTGCGGAAAATCATGCCAGTGTTGATGTAGCCCAACTGTGTTGAGTCAGTGCATGTGCTGGAGACTCTGTGAGAACCATAGCATTTGTCTGCATCTGGCTACCTCAGTATTAACGTATGTCCTATTTATATTTATTAGAACTCTGAGATTTGTCCCTTCTCTACCGTGATGGAATTTTCAGCCACGCCATTTGAATGCAGATCTAAATGAGTTCCAAGTGTAAAGGGATTCCTATCTAAAGCAGGGGTCTTAAACTCCTGGCCCATAGTCCAATTCTGGCTGGAGTGATTGCACAATCTGGCCCAGGACTCCTGGTGGGCTGGGGGAGGGACCTATCAATTACCAGCTCTAAGCCTCATCCCTTCCCTCCATCATCCCACCCTCTCCCTACCCTGATGGTGTTCTGTCCCCCGAGCAGGACAGTTTTTTGTATCACAAGGGGGACCTGGTGCTGCACACCAGCAGTGGTCATATCCCCACCTCACTTCCTGCAGTAGCAAGAGCCATGGGAGAAGTGAAGTGAGTGCTCGCTCCACTTCCCTATAGCTCCTTCAGCTACAATCACTCCAGCTGTGACTGGCCCATGCGGCCAGAGTTTGTGTGTCCTGATCTAGTATTTTAAATTCCGGCTTACGTCTCTGTATATTTCACTCTTTTCTAGTCTGCAACCAATAGGATAGCATACAATATTATTGTCCTGAAATATTATAATTTTCTTTCTTAATGTGTTAATTTTGATTTCTGTAGTCATCACATTTTTAGCAAATAAATCATGTGAGTTGCAACTTCTGAGATTTCCTACTAGTGTAAAATGTAAGTAAATAAAAATGGAAAAAAATAAATAACTGGAATGAATAGTTGACTCCTTCCAGAGTTACTCATGGGGCTTCATTATGGACTTGTCTTATTGGGTACAGTCAGAAAAGTTAACCAGAATGAAATAAAGATGTGAATTTAAAGTGGAGAATTCAACTGTATTAAACTCCTGCATGAAAAAACATCATTCAGAATAAATATCACCTTAATTCTGTTTCATTTCATTTTAGATTTAAGAGAACTTAAATTCGGAATAAGTGTCCGCACAAGTTTTCAGTGAAGTTTATATTCTCTGAGGGCAGACACTGTAGGCAATCACTAGGGCTTTGTCTACACTGCAGGGTTTTTGTGCAAGAAGCCCTTTGCGGAAGAGTTCTTGCACAAAAGCGCATCCAGACCTCAAAGCGTATTGAAAAGTGATGTGCTTTTGCGCAAGAGAGTGTCCACACTGCATGGACATTCTTGCACAAGAAAGCTCTGAAAGAGCATCTGTGCTTTTTCTGATAGGTGTTTCTTGCACAAAAACCCCTCCAGAGCATCCACACCTGCCTTTTTGCGCAAGAGCCATAGCGCAAAAAGGAGTTATTCCTCGTGGCGCGAGGAATAACTTTACTGGCAAAAGCTCTCTGTTCTGTTGATTTTCTTGCACAAAAACGCACTTGAGGTGTGGATGCTCCGCCGTTTTTTGCGCAAAAACCTTATAGTGTAGACATAGCCTAAGAGTTTGTAGGAGAATTTCTGAGAGTCTTCCAAAAGGCTCCTCTTTATTGCTTCCTCTTTATTTAGCAGGGGAAGGGACCTACAGTACCTGGCTGCTATTCTATTTCAGAAACAAATTACAGTGCCCCTTGCAACTGAGTATATGGGATTGTGGAACCTAAGCTCTACCCATTTGTAGTCAGCAAGTAAGCAAGAACGTAGCACTTGCTTTCTCCTATGCTCTAGGGCCCAAGGTCTGGCTAATCTGTACACCGATTTTAGGATTTCTTCTTTCCCCTTATTCCCTTACATATGTGTGTTGTCAGAGATGCAATGGAATGCACTGATACCACAGCATGTGATCAGTTCTTTTCCCTTGATGTGCTGTCATCTTAATTGTGCTTTAGTTATATATCGAGAGCCTTTAAAAAATGGAAGTTATATAAACTGTTAATCAGACAGATGGACCAGGAAAGACCATCAAGCAATCAAGTTAGCATGGCAGTGGTGGAGAAATAGCCTTAACATAAGAAACTGTTAAAAACTTTAGTACGAGAAGGAATAGGAGCCTTATTAAAGATTAAAGAACTGATTTCTCTCCTTTCTTTTGTATCCAAAAGACTTCTGTGGTGTTATGATAGAAAAGAACCAGTGGTGAATAATTAAAACCCAAAATTGGCCTTGGAGTTCCAGTCTGAGAGTCAGCCTAGTCTGTCTCTCCCTCCAGTTTGCCAGGCACAGTGCTAGCAGATACTCCACATTGTTCCTCAGTAAGTCATGCCATTTCTAGTGATGGCATTAAGTTTAGTGAGAACTCAATATACACAAATGTAACAGACCAGGCATGCGCATTAGACAGAGCACAGTGCTTTTAAAAAACACCACCTCCTAATTATCCCCATTAGACACATACATGACTTTAGGACAGTGGATGGCAAGCCAGGTTCTGGGGCCCTGGCTCAGACTTTATTCAGCCTTTATTTGGGCAAAGCTCCCATTTAAGACAATGGAAGTTCTACTGGAGTAAAAACTGGGTCAGAGCCTCAGGATTCGGCCTGTGATTATGCAGCAGAAATCCCAAATTCGCCTCCCATGTAGCGGAAAGTGGCCTGCCAAGGACACTTGTACCCACATGCCCTTCAAAATCTCTCCTCTCTGACCCTGTGTGGGGCATGGTAATTTCAAGTAGCTTGGGGCATAAGAAGCTCCAGAGCTGTCCCTGGTTGTGGCAATTTAGCGCATCCTTTTCTTGGGCTGCTGGTAAAGACACAGATACATTAACTGGCCTGGCTTTCCAATTAACCTTAATTCACTCAGTGGGTGGTGAATGCCTAGGAGAAGAAAATTCTTTCTTGGTTTCCCCAAGAACTGGGAGAAAACATGTGCTTTGCGTGCATGGCTAGCATTGACATTACAGAGCAAAGAGAAATTAAAGTCAGAGCTGTCCAGTTCTAATTATTTTAAACCTGTGTGTGTTTGTATGTTACAGATTTCAGACTGCCTTCCCACTTTTGACATTGTGCCTGCGTGTTTTAGGCATGATCTCTTCTGTACTGGATGTGGTAAGCTAATTTGTTTTCATCATATGACCACAAAACTCGAATGGGGCTGAGTTAGCAGCAGCAGACACTGCTGTAGGTGGGTGGTCAGGGAAGAGAACAGATGGAACCAAAACCTATCCCTGCAATCAGCCAAAATGCAATCTCTTCTGGTATTAATACACTATACAGCAGCTAGGGGGTAGTGGGTAGCTGTGTGCTGGGTAGCTTTCGTCCCTAAGCTCAGATGAACCTAATGTCAGCCTTGCAAGGAAGAATACACGAAGAAGCCATCTTTCCCACTGTTCTAGTTGCCTTATAAACCTGCTTTTAATGAGCTTTTCTGCACATTTTGTATTGTAGTGAGGTTCATTGGTCTGTAATTCCCAGATTTATTACTAGTGTCTTTCCCAAAGATATGTAACATATTTACTTTCATCTCCCTTGAATAGTGGGGAGGTTGCATATTTTTGACAGTAACTCATGCCTTATCTACAAAAGAAAGTTTACAGCCACCCTCACCCCTCACAAAAAATTTTTAAAACCCTCAGCTGTTTTCTGTGCCAGCAGATATAACTTTTAGTTATGGTGGTTCCTATAGACTTTTCTTTCCTTAACAAGTTTCTTGGTTGCTAATAAATGAAATGCCCTGCTTTTCTCATCCATGCAGGGTGAACTGGAAGATAGCCTCTCTTTCTCACATCTTCATGCTATCAAGGCTGTCATCATGTTGAGTGGGACCATGATAACTAATAAGATTTAAGAGGTTGTCTAGAATATATTTGCCAGGGGCCTTAGTGACAAACCATTTAAATTTAGTACAGTGAATGCAATGGTGCTGATAGGGTATTTATTATAGAACAAGACACTCATCATGATATATTTATATATTATGAGGCTGAAAGAGGCTTTTAATATGCAGTAAATATGTTTTTTGTCTAAATCTTGTATATATCACTATTTGCACAGTGGAGTAGGAGAGCTTGCAAATTACCACACTAGACTGACATGTTATTAGAAACACGCATCTTTCTTCCGTAGTATTTCCTTATTTTGCTACCAAAAGAAATTTAACTAAAAGTATAATGGCGCAGGGGCATAAATGATCTGATTTAAACCTACAAAATCCAGGAGGATTACAGTTAAAAATGAAAATTTGTCGTAGATGGAAAGGTTCTGTTTTGGGCCCAACCTATGTATTTAAGCTCAGGTGCTCACATTTTCAGCCTTAACTGGAATTTTGAGGTTAAGTTGTTTGCATTTTTCTGTCACTGAATACAGCTAAAATTCTGTGTTCAATGTATTTGCTCATCATAAAATGTTCCCTGTGGCCAGTAACAGCTTCTTTGTTGGCTAAGCTTGTCTGTTTTATGGGCTTCCCAGCCTTCATACAGTGTAGTGGGAGTTAAAAACTTCCACATGGTTCGTGCTCTGAGGCATTTGTGAATAAGCAAAGCATTTGCTTCTAGGTCCAACAAATGCACTGAATATGGTTTGAATTTTCTGTTTTTAAATGCAAAGGATAATATTGATTTTGTTAAGGTAAATATCTTTAATCGTATGCTGCATAAACTCAACTGTTACCCAGAGATAATGGGTTTTCTGGGCATCCTTCCAGCACAGCAGTCTGAAAAATGTACCTTTTAGTGTGTCCAGAAAAGAACTGCAGAGTTGGGATTTAGATGAACACAAATTAAATGGAGCACATCCCCAATAACAGTAAATTGTGTATATGAATACTTTGCTCAAATGGAAATTAAATTTATTCAATTCCATAATTTTCTCCAGAGCAGCTGTTAATTTGGCCTGTTTGGTTCTTAATAGGAAAAGAGAAAATGACTGTTGAGAGCTAAGGATGGATTTTCTTGTTTCTTTTTACTATGTGATGCAATCTGATCTACAGAAACCGAGAAGACATTGATTCAAAGGGACACTGAGTAATACCTAGTTTGCAAACAATGGTGCTGATTCTGAAATCCTTCCTCAAACCAGCTTGCCTAAAGAGTAGCACTAAAGCAGTCTCATTGGGCTTATTAAGAAGAGTGAAAGTTACGAGATGAGGCCTAATTATTGTACATACAGGTATTTAAAAATACACACACACACATGCCACAGATGTTGTTCTTTGATTTATTGCTAAATTATCATAGTACAAGCTATATAAAATATTTTACAGAGAGGAAAAATCATTGAATTGGAGGTTAATAATGTTTTGCATAGGAATGTGTGTGGATATAAGCCGCTCTTCACGTTTTAAACTTAGATTTTTGTGCCAGCAATTTAACAGTAAAATGTCTGTTTGAAAGTCATTTGCTTACATGAGTTGAGTGTCTCCATTTAATGCTGAGTGTTTGCAGAACATAGAGACTGAGACTTGAGCAGCAAGCCTGGGAATATGGGGATTACCAGCAATGGTTATTTTTAATTGATTTACTTATTGCCCAATTATGCCATCCTTACTGACACTGAATAATACTTGACTTCACCCATTGGATTACTCATGCACTAATGAACAACTGCTCATCTTGAGTATATGCATTGCAGTTTAGTCCTTAATACTTAATACAGATATATGGATTGATTGGAAACCCAGTATATTCCACATAGCATCTGTATAAATCATTATTGCTGGAATCCTCTAGCAGTTTTAGGGGAGTTAGAGAAGGAAACTCAAAATATAAACTTTGTCCCTGCTTGCCCCTCATTGGCAGTCTATATGATTGTACACAGCTACAAGCACCTGCTTTTGAAACTTTATTGCAGCATTGGTTAGGTACCAGTTTATTTCTTTAGATTACACACAAGGAAAACTTGTAAAAAATAGATAAAACAAATCTTACATAGTCTGTAATAAGATGATTGATACTGGTTAAGCAAATTGTTATCATCTGGCATTCACTGGGATTACACAGTAGCACACAGGTAAGAGAAAGGTATGCTAACTTCATGTGAAATGTTCAAAGGTGTGGATATTTCATATTGTATTAAGAGCTCATTGGTGTCTATCCATGTTCATGTCTGATGGCAAACTAACTGCTTTCAAATTACATGTGTGAAATCATGGACCATACAAAAACACTCACAAATTCCATAGGAAACAATAAGTAACTGAGTTTTAGAAATCTGTGGTCCACTTTTTCTAAACCCAATGTAGCCACCTCTCCTAAGTCATAAGCACAAACTGTGTAAATAACAAACATTCAATGTCAAGTCTAATTTGAGCCACCAGAGAATAGAAAATGTGTCAAATCCAGTGGTACTTGACTCAATTTTATATCTTAAATGTAGGCAGACATTAATTGTTCTGTGATAAATAACAATTTGGAAAGTAATTCAGGGGAAAACAAGTCACATTGAAGTTCTTTGAAAAAGAGCGTATTAAGAAACATGTGTGAAGTCTTTGGAATACTTATCAACTACCAACTTGAAATCATTTCTCTTACAAGGAAAAATTTCAATAGCAAATTCATAGAGAAATTAATCCACATGGAAAAATACAAAACAATCCTTTATAAATACTATTTCTAATGCAAAAGATGTTGCATATTTGGGGTAGATAAAAAGCATAAACACTTTTATTTTTTAAGATATGGATTATAAAATATATTAAAAACATGCTAGCTAATTTTGAGAACTGTTTTAGATATATTATCAAGCAGCAGCATTTTTATACAATAGAGAATAACATAGTACTGTCTTTGGAAATATACTACATTCAGAAAATGGTGTATTCCTACAGGAAGAATGGAAGTAATACATATTTACATGGATACAAATAAAGCAAGTGCAAAAAATGGCTCTTCTACATTCTTTCTACCAATAAAAACACTTTCAATAGACACTTTCAATCCACTGCTGCTGTTCAGATCTTCCATTTTGCTCATTCTCATGGAGAAAAACAAAACCAGGCTGCATATTTCATTACAAATCTCGTCACAAGCAATCACTCCCCTGGCAAACTTACTTACAACATTTGTAACTGACCAAAAAAATCTTCCTTGTAGCTGTCAACCCCCATTACTCTTTCAGATTATTTACGTATCTAGAATGATTATTTAGTTTTATGTATTTATATAATTGATGCAACAGTTTATAGGAGCTCATCCTGTAATTTAGAGTCAAAGCTATGATGGAAAAGTGTGGGTGAATAAAAGGCAGCTAAACGAACTTTGAGTTACAATGAGCCCCATGTACTTAACATGGTATAACATTGATGGAAAATGCATTAGAGTTGTTCACCTTGCATTCAGTACATTTGGAGGGCCTTTGGTACAATAGCAGGAAGGCACTGTGGTGAAACATTCAGATAACTGAGGAAAGACAGAATTTCCTCATGTGCAAATATGGCTATTTTCCAGATAAAGTGAGAACAAATTACTCACAAATGCTATTAACTCTTCCAAGGTGAATCAAATGTTTCTTCAGAGAGAGCAAGAGAGCAATGTTTATTTATGTAACAATATTAATACTGGAAAACCACTGCTCAGCAAGAAAATAATTTAGTACTATGTATTTTGAACCTATTCAGCATAGCTATAACATTTTTAAGAGACAAAAATGCATAACTCTGTTAGGATCCTCCCTTTCTCCAGAAATAAATATGAAGTTGGTTAAGACTATATTATTTATCAAATGATTTGCATATAAAATGATGAAAAGCAGATACAGTAGCATAGGCAGATGTCATGTAGCTGTAAATAAAACCACTAAAATGTAGTCTAAATTATATACATGTTTGAAGAGCCTTGATTCTTTAGCTGACACCATGCAGGTTCAGGGATCTGTCCGTTTGGTGCCAGTTTCAGGACTGCAACCCAACTATAGAACATATGTGTGTATAGGAACATACACAAACACATCTAAAAGTTAATTAGCTATGTCTTAAACTTAGGAAGAAAAGCATTTCTTTTCATCCAGCTTAATGCAAGCAGCAGTAGAACCCCTGAAGCCATAAAATTACTATCCCATCCTACACAGCTTAGGTCTTGAAGGAAAATGTAAGATCAATGGATTTAAAAATAAAAACAAGCCTTCCACCAAGATAGGAGAGAGAGCATATTGATCAGGCAGATCCTACAGTGAGATGTCAGTGGGTGTCCCACTGTAAGGATCAAAGTGTTAGTTTCTGTATGGTTTATACATTTATGGCTCTTGGTAAGATGAGTCTAATATATAAAATGGGGAAATGATTCGGGATACTCAAATGATAATTTCGGGGCAGTGCCAAAACATCGAGTCACGCTTAATGGGAACACATGTACCCTGATTTCACATTTCATTTGGGTAATTGTATGTTGATATAACCAAGGTTCCTACTGGATTTGTGTGTGCAATTACCCCTCTACTTATCCAAGTCAGGGGTGCACTGGTCTCTATAATGCTGTTGAAAACCTGTCCCTTCTTGGGGTTTTATTTTTAGACTATCACCTAATAGGTTGCAGTGTTTTTGTAGAACATGTCATCTAGCCAATTTATTGTGTAAACCACAATAAATAATTAGTTCACATACTTCTTTGTGCTGCTTATTAAAATCCAACAAAAAGAGAGTCCATATGGGGAAAAGTCTGCCAAGTAATTTTTATGGTACTTTTTAAATATTTCTATGCCCAAATTGTGTGAAACTGGAATCCTTTGGATTGGACACTTGTTTAAGTAAAGTCAGCTGAAATAAACAACTTGTGGAAGATGACTTAATTTCTTGAGAGCCAAGACAATTCAAAACAATGGGATGTTATCCCTGGTACTTTATCTGTCTTTAAAAGAGCAGGAGGGCTAGAATATCTTGTGGTACACGGCATCATTATAGCAATACATTCAAATAGAGTCTCAGAGAAAATTAAACATGTTAAAAACATACCATGTAAAGTTCTTGAAAAATATAAAATAATTCCACTATATCTAGGTAATTTTTAATTAATTATATGCAAAGCTCTAGGCTTGCTCCCAAGGAAGCCAATGACAAAAAAGTCTATTGAATTCATTGGGCACAGGTATTAATTACTGATGGAGCATGTGTAGCTAGGTAAATGAATGGCAGAGTGAAACATTGTGGCTGGAAGAATTGTGTGATAGTCATATATAGTATTTCTGAAAAGGTATATGATTTTACCCATTAGCAAAATTCTGATTTCAAATACTCCAAAGATCCCAAGTTGTGTAAGACCCAAGATTTTGATTGTGATATATACTAACTCTCTCCAAGATAGATTTCCATAGCTTAAGGGATAGAATTTAGTGGCAGAAAATATATATTTTTCACTATACTCATGAAGAACAGTTGTGCCAAACCCTGTGTTTATACTGGGCGAAAGGAGATGGTAGCTGCACTTATTTTTCTTGCAGCATTGGGAAAGCATGCTATGGATGTTCTGCTGATCTAATATTTTCCTACAACCTAATTCATGCTGTCACCATGTAGACATGGGTACTCTCAATCTTTGCTTTGAAACCCTTGAGTCTTTAGCTAGTGTGCCTTCTAGAGTGATCTCTAGCATGGCAAATTTCCTACTAACACCCTTAAGGATATTGATTTCATTAATTTAACAAAAGATTATTACATATTTGCAGCAATATTATGGTTAGCCCTTACTGTATTTATATTATCCATGTATGACATCTTTTTTATCTTGTCAGGAAAGCAATAACACACTAAAAATGAAAAGCATGAAACTTGATAAGCTTACTAACTGTACAACTGCAAACAGCAAATATTATCTGTATTCTGCTTCTTATTGTGATTAGCTTTCATGAGTACAATATATTCCAACTATGTGTTTGCAATAGTAGTCGTACATAGCTAACTTTTTAGACTACTAAGGAAGTTAAGCCTTTCTGTAAATTGCTACTGGTTTTTCAAAGCAAAAGAAAAAAAAGACAGGTAAAAGTGTGTGTCTTCTTTTAGATGTAATTACTTTCCCCTGCAGCTTGCGTGGTTAAATGTTGTGGCTTCTAAATGAGAGCAGATATGAATTGTAGATAGGTTCTACATGAAAATAAACAGCAGTACTTTATAGTATAAAAATATTAAAAACTGTCAGTGTATTGGCTAACCACTAATTTGGGTCAATCACAAAGTCTTTTCACGGGCATAAGTCTGCTTAAATTTGTAACTCCAATAGATTGGGCTATACATTAGAAATTTTTGATTGCTCTTTTAAATTAATTATCTTTAAGCATCCCTCTCCTTCAAAGGCACATCTGCTCTGATTCAAAAACAGCAAAGAAAGTCCTGAATTTAAGTGGCAACTACAGTTGGTGTGACACAGTCAGGAAATCTGGGTTCTGTTCCCAGATCAGACTGAGAGTTGGTCTACTTTTAAACGTCGACATGCTCTGAGCACCATAATGATGCTGACCTAACCTCTAGGATAGAGTTTTAAGGAAGAATTCTTCCATCAACCTAGTTACTGTCCCTAGGAGAGGTAGATTACCTACAGCAATGGAAAAACATCTTCCATCAATGTAGCACCCTTATGGCCGGTCTGCACTAACCCCCGCCATCACTCCAATCTGTGTGACTTCTCACACAAATAGCGTAGCTGAAGTCGATGTTCTTAACGTGGCATCTTGGGTACAGTAAGGTTGGTGGGGGCTGCGCTCTTGTCAACGCAGACTACTTTTCTCATCCTGGTGGAGTACCAGCATTGACGGGGCGAGGGCTCAGAGATCGATTTATCACATCTAAGCAGAAGCAATAAATCAACTGCCAGTGAATCAATCGCTACAGCATCAATCCCTGGCATAGTGGAGACAAGGCCATAGCGTAGATGTGGCCTGGCTTGTGCAAGTCACTGCTTTAGTTGCACCCATTGATAATATTGGGAATAAGAATATGTACCCTGTGTTTGTAAAGGGCTTTGAGATCTGGATGGAAAGATGCAGCTATTTAAATGCAAAGTGTTATTAATATTATATGAAATGCAGGCACTCCTTCTACCCTTATTTCCCATCTCCATCTATTTAAGTGCTAATATATGACTCCATTTGGTGTAGCACAGAGCTCTGGAGTGACGCCTTTCTTCTCCCTTATTATTATGATACAGATATTTTTGCAGCAGGCAAGACGCTATCATGTTATATGAGAACAATACAATCTTTGGACTAAAGGAAGGGTGTCCTTTTGATGTTTACAGAGAGAGGTGGCTAGTTGCTTAGTCAAGGCTGTCAGCTTGATGCCAATACATTGTTCCTTTCATTGAATCGGTGCCTTGAGATGAGCCATTAAGGAAGCAGGAGGTTGAAGGGGCAGTGGAAGGATCTAAACAGGTCAGTTATGGAAGGATTCAGTAAAAGTTGTCTCACAATTCTCTTCTTCTACGTCTGATTTCTGGCAGGGAGTCCAGAAAACTCCTTCCTGATAATTTCATTAACTGTGAAATAAAAAAGGGAACAAGATTTAGCATGTTCTTAAAGTGATGGGAAGCCAAAGCAACCCCTAGCACAGAGCTCAGTTTCTAACTGGATCACCAAAATGTGCACATGTTTAACTCTGTAACCACATGCTCTTATTTGCTTTAATCTTTGTCCTGTACATACTGGTTAACTCCATTTGTTGCATCATATCTAAACTAGGGCTTGATTCTGCAAACACTTATGGGTGTAGTTCTAGATACTGGCATGCTATTTACTATCCTGGACTATGCCTACTTGAAAGTGGTCACTGGATTGTCTCTTTAGATGGTAAACATTTTGGGACAACATCCATGTATTGCTGTTTTTCTAGAGTGTTCAGCACATGTCAAGAACTATAAAACCAGAATAGCATTTTGCACCCTGTGATCATGCATTTGATGTCCCTTGCAAAAATAATTCTTTTCTTGCTTCATAGACAAAAAGTCCCAAAGAGTCAGTGGATATTAACATGCTTACCAAGATGAAATAAAAGTGATGTACCAGATTTTGGGAGGTGCATTTTTACACATGCCAAACTTGTCTGCTTGCATTGAAAACTCTGTGCATGTATATTATATGCAAAAATATTTTTCTGAAAATTGGACCTTAACCTATTTGTGACAGCATATTTTTCTTTATACCACAAAAGTACAAATTTAATGTTCTATGCTTCTTCGTGCATTTATTACTCCTGATATTGTGTGCTAGTGATTAATAATAAAGCGCAACATAATGTATTAGCGTGCTCACTTCTTGCTCTTCTATGCAAAAACCCCAAACAACATTATGTGTTGTCATATACAGTTGAACCTCAGATTTATGAGCATCTCAGGAAGAGAGGTCATTCATAACTCTGAAATGCTCATAACTCTGAAGAAAACTTTATGACTGTGCTTTCAAAAGTACACCTGAGCATTGGTATTGGCTTAATTCAGCTTTGAAAATGTACTATGCAAAAGAAAAAAAATCCCTTTTTAAAATAGCTTACGTTTAACAGTATTATATTTGTCTGTGATTGACTAGTCAACTTGTAACTCTGCATTCATAACCCTGGGGTTCTATTCTAGTATGCAGTGTTGTAGCTGTGTCAGTCCCCAGATGTCAGGTAGTCTCTTTTATTCAACCTACTTCTGCTGGTGAGAGAAACAAGCTTTCAAGTTTACAAATTGCTTTTTGTCAGGTCTGGAAAATTATTTCCATAAAGTTCTTATTGGGGCATTTAGTGCACTGCAGGAGGTACCCCCAAATAATAGGCACATGTAACACCTACAGATTTGAAAGGTATGTTGTGGAGGTGTTGATACGGCTGCTGTATCAGTTGTTCTGGCCGGGTCTCATGCTGCTTTGAGTTATCTCCTAGTGCATGGGGAGCTTTCTTCTGATGGTGAGGCTGATGCAGTTGGGGAGCTGTCTGAAGGCCAGAAGAGGGGAATGGTTTTCCTGGATTCCCTCTTTTCAGACCTTTCAACAGGGGGCAAAGGAGGCAACTGCCCAGGGGCCCAGCAATTCAATACTACTGCAGAAGCAGCAGTGGCCTGAGCCCGGGCTTTTTAATCACCACTGGAACTCCACGCAGTACACTCAGGCATACTTCTGTCCCAGGCCTGCAACTGCCCTCCTGCCTTGTCTGTCAGCCTGGTGAGTCTGTAAGCCCCACTGCCTTTTCTGATATTCAGAATCCCCTACCCTCCCAACTCAGAAATCCCTCCACACACTAAGACATACCTACTCAAAGCAGCATCAGACCCTGCCAGAACAACTAATGCAAAACCTACAGCCATATCTTCACTGCCAAAATGGAGACAATGAACAGCCATCTCATTTGGAGGCGACGATACCTGATTTGTGTCTGGCACAGCAATTGTGTGTGCATATTTTTGCCAGAATTTGCTATTTGTGGAGTCAGTTTAAGCTGTCAGAATCATGGCAGTTGCACATGCAAATAAGGTGCACACTTATAAAGATATGGGCTTCTCAGTCAATTTTGGTATATTCTTGTTGATAACCAAACATTCAGAACTTTAGAAGCCCAGATCTATGATCAAACCTATTTCAACTGTGCAACTTGTATGCTCACAATAGAAAATACAATATTCATTTTTGCATGCAGTTACTGGAGATGCATTGCAGATCAATTAATCCAGAACACCAAATCCAAATTCTCTACTTGCCCCAGATCTTGGGAGAAAATTCAGAATTAGATCCATTTCCATATCCAAATGGGCCCATCTCTAATTGTTTTTACAACCATGGGCATGCTTTCTTGTATGGGGACTCAGAATAGCCATTTGAATTTTATTGGAACTTAGGGTACGTCTACACTACAACGTTAATTCGAACTAACTTAGTTCGAATTAGTTAATTCGAACTAAGCTAATTCGAACTAACGCATCCAGACTAAAAAACTAGTTCGAATTAGCGTTTTGCTAATTCGAACTAGCATGTCCACATTAAGTGGACCCTGAACCAGGCTTAAGGATGGCTGGAAGCAGTGCCGGCAGGGCATCAGAGGAGGACTTAGAGCGTGGAGATGCTGTCTCAGGCTAGCCGAGGGCTGTGCTTAAAGGGTCCTGATCCCCACCCCGGACAGACAGTTCTCAGGGGTGTCCTGCTTGCAAAGAAGTCCTGGCTTGGATTGCCCGGACTACCCACACTGGGCACATCACAGCACTCGGCCATTAGCCCGGCTGCACTTGCCGCAGGCTGCCATCTGGGGAGAGGGGACAATTGGGGGGCTGCAGGAGAGGTTCCACCCCCAGAAGCCCGCAGAGCCAGCCCAGTCCTCCCCATCGGGGGCTCGTACCCCATTCCTCCCTCACCTCCTTCCACTTACCCTTCCCTAGCCCCTCTTCTTGATGTACAAAATAAAGGACAATTGTGTTCAAAAATGGAATCTGTCTTTATTGAACAAAACTGGGGGAGACTGGGAAAAGGAGGTGGGAGAGGGGAAGAGAGAGGGTGGGAGGGGGTAGGGCTAATAAAATATTCAGGGGTTGGGAACAGGTCC